AATGTAGGCATTTTCAATTTTTCTGATTCTAAGTTTACTTGCATTTTAGTTTTGTCTTGTCTGCGCGCTTGCAATCATCTATAATTCATTTATATATATAAACTAAAACTTCGTATAAAAATTTATATGTATATATATATATATATATACAAGCTAAAACTTCGTGATAAAAACGTATAATTCGGATTGAACTAAAATAAAGAAAATTATGCAAGTTTTCTGAAACTTCCAAATTTTAACATGAAAAAAATGAACCATATTATCATATTTTTACTAAATTCGTAATTTGAAACGATTGTGTTTTAGGTCGAAAATCCAGTCTATTCGTGAACTATTTTCAAATTACGATGATTACTGTTACTTTCTAGGGAACTGTGGAATAATTATAAGAAAAATTTTTTAAATGGCCAAAGGAAATGCATTGCTAGCATCTTTAAGTTTCTTATGTTTCTAGTATCTTAGTTAAAATAAGTCTGTAATTTAAGTAAGAGAAGAAATTCTTTCACGCTTTAAAAGTCAATTCTTGTTTCAAACACAGATAAAAATGATTGCCATAAAGAATGATATCTATGGTAAATGTTTAACATACAGGTCATTTATCTATGCCTTTCCATGCTGTGACGAAGCGTGGAAAACAATGACACCTTAAAATTTAGATTTGGAGTTACCTCCATGCTGCGAGATTGCTTCTGAATTGCAAAGAAAGACAGCCCTTCATTTAAAGATATTTCTGATTAAAATAAGGCTGCTAAGATTTGGCAATGAATTGTTTTTCAGCAGAATACATATTCTCTTATATTATATTATCTCTTAGAAGTGCTTTTGTAATATTTTCACTAATTCTTTCGATTTTCTTTTCAAATTTTGTGCGTTAAAGTAATGTTTGCAAAGTCTTTTAAGCCGTAGAGTATTTTATATTTGTACAAACGTTGGAAACAATATTTGCTAGGCGAATTTAGGGAATTAGGTGTGTGTGTGTGATTATGGCAAAGCCTCGAGGGCTATCTGCCTAAGGGGAGGGATGCCTTCGTGGAGGACTTTCTAAGGGAAACTGGCTCGTATACACGTTACACATGGGGAAAACCACGAAAACGCCCATGCAGCCAGCCCGTTCGCGGGATTCGAACCTCGGACCGAACTACCAGTGTTCAGCGACTTTACCGCTCGGCCGCTGGTGAGCCCTTTAGGAAATTAGGAAATTTATTGTTTAATAACTCCATTGAAGTTGTACTTCTTTAATTTGTAAATATATCATAGTGATGCAATTTAACATCGCTTAAGTGCTACATCAAAGATTATGGACCACCTTGCATAGAAAGCGAAAGATTTAAGAAGTTAAAAATCAGTTGTTAATATTTTACATGTAAGCTAAGTACATAACTGTCGTAATGTGTGTAAGTAATGTGTGCGTCGTACGATCATAAAAAGAAGGAAATGGATTCACAATTATCCATTATTCACATCTAATGTGTAAAGGAGGCTGTCTCTTAAATTATTTTTAAATATATTGCGTATTAAATTAAAAACACTCAATTAGTTTAATATCCTCTACTTATATGATCTGTTTTTAAATTGCCCTTCTTTCGTTACCAGGTACACTTTTAATAACAAAACTGAAACAAATGCTGATAGTTCACACACTTTCTTGTCATTTACGAAAGTTTCACAAAGCAGATTAGAATTTTTAGTAAAATACGAAATACAACAGCTGCTTTCAGCTATAAGTATTTATTTTATTGTTTACTATATTGTTTACTTTCTGTTTAATACTGAGGGAAAAGGAATAGAACTCGTCTCATGAAACTGTATTTCAGCAACATTACTTGATATTTTAGAAAGCAATATGTCGGGAAACAAGATCGTGATTTAGCGGAAATGATTCAAATGAAATCAATCTTTTATGAAATAAAAAATTGCACAAAAACGTTATCTTTCTTTTGAAAATATCAATATAAATTATAGGCTAAAAAGCTTTGTCCTGTCTTTCACATTAGGTTAAACACGCTCAGCAATTAAGTCACTGTTTTTTGATGTTCATAATGTAGGGAGTTCAACTGAAAGGTGTAACCGAATCTTCAGGTATTTAAATAAGGAGGTAGGGAGGCTACAAGTAAATCTATTGTAAAGGGCGCAACGTTTTATGCATCACCGTACTACTAATGAGAAGGCCTTATTAGCGTAATGATGTTACAATAGCTGTTTTAGCACAGATACTCTACATCTAAATTACTCTGATATTATATTTACAACATTTCAGAAAAAGAAATAATTTTTAAACTTAGATCATTTACGGAGGGAGGTATAAATTAAGATATAGAAACATTTAGTATTATAAACGTATACATGAAATAGTAAGTAACGTATCAAATAAATTATTTAACTTCCTCATAGCATATCAATTAATTTTTGTACAAATAAACACTTTTGTATAAACACTGGGTTAAAGTTCAGCAGCTAACATGAATTAGTGAGTTAAGAATTTTTTTTTTCAATTATTCTGCCGAAATCAGATGTCTTCCACATACTTAAATCATATGCAATATCCTTGAAATATCCAGTTAGTTTGCATTTTCATATTCCAAAACAATATCTGATGCCCATTATTCAGCAAATACCTTATCACTGGACACATATGATGCAGCTTAATTCCTGTTGAAATTCAGGAAATTATTGCTTTTGAATTTTTCGAGGGATTTTATGTTAATTAACCATTTATTATGATTTAAATTTTTACTATAACTTCTTCTTTCTGTATTCCTCACCAGAACGCAGATTAGGTTTTGTGTACGTAAGCCGAGGGTTTGGATGTTTTAGCGTTAAAGCTTGTGGTAATCTTGATTTGTTGTTACTTCCTATCGCCAGCTCTGCCAAAGTTTTATTCTTGCTAATCGACATTTCAAATACTAACTATGTATTGCCGTTAACTATATTCAGCCAGCTTACGCAGCCTGTTGTGTGTGTGTAGTTTTAGACAAGGTTACCTACATTTTAATTTAACTTTATCTTATGTTAGTTTAAATAGCTGTAAGTAGCGGATATTTGTCTATTGCACAAGCAGTGCCTTCTGGTCATTAACGAGATGAATAAAATATTTATTTTAACCGTCTTAAGACGTAGTCATTTATTTCAGACTAAACTGATAATTAAATCGAAGCTCTGAAGGACATTGACACAAGCTTTTAGACATGTCATAATCCTAAAGCATTGATAAAAGATATTTTTAGGGAAAACTACTTTTCTAAAACATTTGAAGAAGGATTAGCAGAAAAAAATAAGCTTAGAATTTTGCACTTTGAAACAATCTTACTGCAAGAACTAAATTCGATAATCAAAGAAATTATTAGAAAGAAATACTTTTAGTTTAAAGAATAGTAACCTGTGATTAGACTTGCGAAGCATTTTCAGGATTATAATTAACTCTTGCTAATTTCTTATACCTTTACACAATAGCTATAATATCATTCACAAATATCAGTTTGTTGTCGAACTAACATTGTGTTAAAATCTGAAAATATTCTGCGTTTCAAGAAATGAAAAAATTTAAACAGTGGTCGGAGGATTAAATGGCACTTTTTAATTTTATTCAGAAGAAAAAGCGAATCACAAGCTATAATTTTCTATTCGACATTAAAAATTTGAATAAAAAGCATAACGCATTTTTAAAATTTCGACAATTTGTCAAACATCCCTTTCGAAGCTGCAGAGTAATTAATGTAAATGTTCGCGATGGTCTTTTTGTACCGTACTCAAAATTTCACTAATATCCCTTAATCAATTTAAATTTTAAGATAGTAATTATTACCTATTATATTATACTTTATTGGTATAAATAACGTCTGTTGCTATGTTCGCAGCTGAACAGACGTTTAATACAACATAATAAAGTTTTAATATACCGTATTTCCTCGCGTATTTTCCCCCCTAGCTTTTTAGCGCCAGTTTCTGAAAAATTTTAAAAATATTCCCTTAATGTTTCCCTTTCTCAATGCTTTCAGAGAAACAGCTTCCCTAAATTTTTAATTCGTTCATATCGGAATGGTTTTCTCTTACTAACAAAGGATAGATCCTCACAAACTACCTGCGTATGTCAGGCCGAACATGTTCCTTCTACAAGCTGTTGAACTTAATGCCAATATAACGACCCATCAACACACGAACTGGCATTTAGAACACGATTTCGATGAATCACTCGAAAAATTCGCCTTCTCTAATATTTTATGGATTATTTGAGTCCTAAAGAGTAGCACAGGCAAAAATAAGAACGGGCGATATTCAAGTTACAGCGAAATAGAAAAAAAACTATTCGATTGCTACATATAGTTATCCAAGACTACTTTTCATTTCTTATATTCTTACTGTAACCACGTTCTTTCAAAATTAAATTATTCACGTAATTTTCCCATCTTGATTTTCAGGTGATAAAATTAGTAGAGGGGGTGGAATACACGAGCATATACGAACACGAATATACTAGTACTATATATATTCATTAAAGACATTCGATATAAATAATGTCCTCCGGATAGAACGAACTTAATGAGTGCTATAAACAAGCTATCCATCTTCTGTAGAAGAGTATCAGTAATGATAGAAATGATGTTCAAATATGTTAATATCCAAGCTTTTAAACAATAGTTAACTTCGTACCTAAATTATTTACAATAAATTATACGGATTATTTCACATCCACGTACGTAATTAAATTTCGTCCATAAAGGTAAACGCATCGGATATGAATTTATTCTTTAAATGCGCTTATTGCCCGTTACTCTCCAGTAAAACATTTAATTTTTTATTTCTGTAACATAATACTTAGAAGTATCAAATCTAATTATTGAGTGTGGAAACAACGTATATATATGAGTGACAGAAGTACCAGTTTTATAAATTCTTCTGCTGATAATGTTTATTTTAGCTAAATAATTAGTACAAAATTAAATTTAAACTGATATTTTTCAAGTATTATGTTTAACATATTAAAGCTTTTCTTCTTCTTTCAGGAAGTTTTGAAAAATGATACTGAAGTCCATACCAGCGTTTCTGATCTTATTCCATCTAGTTTCTGGTTGGAATTATGGAGGAGGAGGATGGCATGATAAAATACCAAGGAAAATAGTCGTGAAACATATTCCGAAGCATGTGCCTGTCTATAAACCAGTACCAATACCGAAACTAGTTCCTGTGCCAAGGCCTGTTGGTTTTCTTAAACCTTTAGCTATTGCCAAACCCTTCAGCGTGCCACATGTTGTCCCAGTCATCAAGCACTTTCAGAAACCTTTCCCAGTCTTGAAAGGTTTCCCTTTTCACATCCCTATCCATGTGCCAAAGTTTCATAAAGTACCCATCCCGATCAAGCTGCCAAAACCATATGTCGTCCGTGTGCCGAAACCATACGCAGTAGCGAAAAAATATCCAGTTGCTGTGCCTGTTCACATTCCAAAGCCTTATTTAGTTCCCGTTCTCAAACAAGTCCCTGTCGCTGTGCCCCACAAGGTTCCCAAAGTCATCAATGTCGTGAAAGAAGTACCTGAATACGTCAAGAAACCAGTGCCTGTCTAGTAAGTCCAACATAGCATTTACCTGCGCGCATTTTCTTAAAAAAATATTTAATTGGCTTGAACAGAAAAGTATTCAGAGGTTATTTAAATGAAAGAAAGTTTATGGACTAATTTTTTTAATAATTTCTATGGTTACATTCTTTACATAAAGTAACATTCTTCAGTCTGTTACCTTATACTGTAATTATCTGACAGCTACTATACAGGGTACTGCCAAATTCAACCGACAAATTCAGAGGGGGGTGTACTTCAATAGGATGAAATATTGTCATTCAGCATGAGTTCGCAAACCACGTTTAGTGAGAGAAAATCGCAGAAATAGTTAAGAAGTGTTTGCCTTTTAGTAGAATATAAAAGGCCAATAATGAGTAGAAAAATATGTATTTGACGGGAAGCAGAGTTGCAGTGAATCACAGTTCAAAATCAGAAAGGAGACGAAGAAACGTTTTTATAGGAATTGTTCGAAGCTGTGGCCGCGAAGGTCATTGTACAACCGACATCGAAGGACGAAGGATTACCAGAACCGTTTAAATGTACCCACCGTGTTGGCGATGTCTACTGAAGCAATAACAATCCGTGCTGTCAATCCTACAGTGTATAAACAGGCGTCTGTAAGCAACCGATTTCAGGTGGCCTAGGAAACGAAATCCAAGAGATTGAGGTCTGGGAAGCGTGGATGCCAAGCAGCAAGTGCGCCTACCGAATCCAATCCACCTCCCGGGAAATGGGACTTACGCATCATATCGCAAAATGCTGGTATATTAGCATGTATGAACCTTATGTTCTATCGCAGAGTGGCCGGTATTCCCTGCTTGAAATCCGGAGGGCGTGCTGTAGGAAAACAAGGTAATTTGAGCTACCGAGATATTCGGGTAGAAAGTATGGTCTCAACATACGATTTCCAAGAATTCCTGCCCAGGTATTAATACCGAACTTGGGCTGCTTTTTCAATGAGACAGTGCTGTGGGGGATTTTAAGACGACCAAATATGCGCATTGTGCGTGTTGATCACTCATTTCGTTCGTAAAAGAATCTTCATCTGAGAATAAGACAGTAGCGGAAAAGTGTGAATCAGTCTGTGTGGCATCAAGCATGCAGTGTACGAACTCTCCCGAAGGGAGTAATTGGACCTTCTCCACATGGAAAGGCTACATGTTTTCCGTACTCAGAACCTTCCACACTATTTTGTTCCAAATAGCTGCAACCGATCGTGTGCTGGTCGACAGAGAAACGGCAAACCGTTGTTTGTGTTTCAGGTGTTCGCATGTTGTGATTTTGCCCTGCATTTCGCCTCGTTATTTGGAAGGATTCCGTCTCCCGCAGCCATCGATCAGTGTTGTTAAATGTGGTATGGTGTAGACAACGCTTCTCGGATACTGATCTTGGTACACCCTTTCCTAGACTTTCATTACTACTTGTTGGACGTAAATCTGATGCATATCTACATGTTCCTGGTCGTGTAATTTGACAAGTTCTTTTCCGTGAACTACGCCCATGAATTCTACAGTACTCAATAATGAATATTTGCTCGCTGTTTTTATTTCCCCATGTTATATGGAAAATTCGCATACGAGATGGTGTCTTCTCCTTGACCGCTGCTTTTGTTTTTCCCCTAAGTATTGGAAAATGCATACCAGAAGGTTTCTCTTCTTGACCGCTGTGCTCCAAATCCTCGCATTTGTTTGGCACTCTCTTCGTTAGGCTCACTGCCCTCTACATGCCCATTTTTGAGATTTTCGTCGTCTAAACTTGGTTTGCGACCCCATGTTCTACGGTAATTTTTTATCCTCTTGATTCTTACTATTACCTCTTTGTCGATCGAATTTGCAAGCACCCTGTATATCAGAAAAAGGAAAGGTTTCGCGTAAGGTTTGTTGTTACAGCTCATAAATAATAACATTTTAAAATTTCTAATTAGAATCATATTTCCTAAATTATAATTTTTATTGTATGAGAATCAGAATAAATGTTTATCAGGAATTTTATTAATATGAAGAATTTTAATCAGCTGCTTTAGATAACTTAGCAAAGTGTCAACGAAAGTTCGTCGGTTGTCTTGAAGATCCAAATATGTTTTACTATACTGACCCTAAACGTTTTAAGCATTAATGATAAGATATCGTAGTATTAGTAATAAAGGGATTTGAATTTAGAATTTGATATTTCTGAACGATGAAATGTAGAGATTTCATTTAAAATTTCAGGAATGATTTTAGTAATTTTCTTGCTGAAAACTTAGGTCAAAAATTTAAAATGGGCACCTGAATTTGTATTTTTAAACCTATATTTCTCATTGCTGCTTTGAATTACTCAAAGATTTTATTAAGCTGTGAATATCTCACTTACTCACTACCTTATCACATATCGTAATGTGATCATATTTTTTTCAATTATATGGTATACTACATTAGGTATAAACATTTAAAGAGAACTCAAATTAGCATAATATGTGAAGATACAGAACTACGTCCCGGTTCTTCGTATATCCCTAGTGGTGTAAGCAGTTCTTATATTTCTAATGGTAGAGGACTATGTTACGCGTTTCATTGCGCATGTTGCTCCTAAGTTTAAAGTTCGTGCTATTATTACCCCACAGTAGCAAATTTAAGTCTAATTAATTAATTTGATGTAGTTGAATTTTTAACATAAAGAAGTAGGTGTAGAATGTACTGTAAATTTTAAAATAACAATTTTCACAAATTTAAATTTCACAAAATGTACTGAGAATTACATATACATAATACAAAATCTGTTGCTTAATTTAAAATTATACATCTGTGTACTAAAGATTTTATTTTACAGTATTGAAGAAAAGCCATATCAGCATGATTATGGAAATTACAAAGGCACTCCTTACATCCCTAGTGGTGGAGACTATAAAGGCACACCTTATATCCCTAGCGGCGGAGATTACAAAGGTTCTCCTTTCCCATCAGGTATAAGCGAAGGACATAAGGGCTCGCCGTTTCCAGCTGATGTAAGTGGAGGAGGAAAAGGAACACCTTATAATCCGCCTGGAAAAGGAGGATCAGGTTATCATTCCAAGGGCACCAACGTACATGCTACAAGTGCTGCCAGCTTTTTGGCAGCGCATGCTGACAAACTGAAACAACAGAACTCAGGGCAGGGTGATTTTCTAGCCGCTTACAGTCAAAATCAAGCTTATTCAGGTCTGCAAGGGCTTGGAACTGGTATTCATGGAGGTTACCATGGATTGCAAAGTTTCGGCAATGGATATCAGAATTTCGGAGCAAATTTCCATAATATTCAAGGAAGCTATGGTGCTGAAGAACATGGAGGATATGATCTGCATAGCTTAGACAGTATTGGTGGATACGATAATTTTGGCGTATATGGAAGAGGAGCTGAAGCAGGGAAAATAAAAGAAGAAAGCTCAGATGCTGGTCAAGCGAATGCTGGAAGTCATGAAAACAGTGGCGAAGTCACATATGATGATAAAGGTGCCTCTGCGGACCAGATAGATCATGATGGGAAAGATACAACAGGAAATAATGCCGGTTATAGTTTATCATCTTATTCTCTTTCTAGTTATAACGATCAGTCTGGCAGAGGAGGTGGTTATCAGAATGAGCCAGCTGTTGGAGGTTATCATGGTCAGGGCCTTTCGGAAAATGAAGGTCAAGGAGCTTACCAAGGTTACGGTTCCAGTGGCGGCAATAGCAATCAAGATAGTAATGCAGCTTATGGCAACCAAGGAGGAAATGGATTTTCTCAAATACCTGGATTGGCCATCTATAAATTAGAAAACGGAGTTGCCACTCCATTAAGTTACTCTAGCCATGTAGTACAGAATTATAATTCTGGATATCAAGGACAAAACGCTTACGAAAATCAAGAAGCGGGTCAAGGTTACGTCAATAATCAAATAGGTAACGGAGGATACGGGTCACAAAATTACCAGCAGAATGAAGAATCTGATAGTAATCAGGCCCATTATCAGCAAAATTCCTATGGATATCAACCACAACAGTCCCAGTATCCATCTCAAAGTGGCCAAGCATATCATGCTCAGCAAGGAGCAGGAAACTATGATGTGTCTTCATACCAAAACCTGAATAATTATAATGATCAAAGCCAAAGTTCGTACAGCCATCAAGAAAATTCCGAGGCCTATCATAATCAAGCGTCTTATCAAATTAATCCCGACAAGCAAGCTCAATCTGGCTATGAAAATGAAAATGCATCACCTGCTCTTCAGGATTACGGACTGAGAGCAGCATACCCAATCCAGATTGATGTAGGTAATCAAAATCAGATCCAAGGCTCCACTGGAACAGTTTATGTAAGAGCTTATGGTCATCAGGGTGAAAGTGAAAATCAAGTCGCGTACAATGTACAGAACTCAGATAGCTATCAAACAGAAGACAGTCAACCGCAAACAAGCTATTCCGCTTATTCAACCCAAGTTAATGCAGCTGCACCAATTCAACCGAAAACTAACGATGAACCAAAGGCAGCATCAGGTCGGTCTTTAGAAAAGGTTTCCCAAATTGTTGGAAGTTCTGGAGGCTATAGTACGCCGGAAGGAGGAGACACTAAAGGAGGCTCTTGGCAAACAGTGCAATGAAATCATCAATCCATTACATTTGTATGTAAGGGTCCATGTGTACATAAATAATTTTAGTCCAGTATATATATTATGCTGACGTATTTATTTCAGCGAAGACTTCAAAGAATATCATCCCGAGTGAACAGACGCTTTGATGAAAGAGAAGCGTTTCATGTTTTAAGACCTCTCTGATTCTATTTGCGGGGCAAGAACTTTGAAGCCCAGAAGTCTTAAATGTAATTTAAATCGTGTTGAATCATGTGTTTTGTTTTTGCGAAAATTTGAAATTGGTACTGTTATATTTGCCTGATAATGGCTCCGGGAGCTATTGAGAGATGAATGTCTTAAAAATGTATTCTCAGTGACATATATAGATATCGACGGGAGAAAATATCTGGAGAGAAAGAACAAAGTAAATTTTGAAATTTTTAAACGTGTCATATATTTAAAACTACATATCCGATACAATTTTAAAAAATTCGAATAAATATTACAAATGCTTCATTCAGCCATACTAGCTCTTTATAAAGCTTCAATTTAATCATCATTAGCTGTTTTCAGATTTATGAACCCAAAAACTGAGAGCATATTTAAAACCTTAGTATATTATAAACATTATAAACCTTAGTATATTTAGCATATTTTAAACATAATAATATAATTATCATTTGAATCTAGTCTACCGTGTAGGTTTCTGTTCCGAAAAAAATTAATTAATCAGCAGTAACAGAAGATTTAAAAATAAGCATCCATTTAAAGTTTATTCATTGTAAAAATATGTGAATGTTCTCTCCCAGTCATATTTTCCTCAGTCAATTTTATACGAATTTACTGCTCATTTTTTATCTGTGTTTTACAACTTTATGATGTTGTATATGAGGTAAGGTCGTTGTACGACTATATTTGTAAATAAAATGTGTCGATTTGTTAAATGGAGTGATTTCTATGTTATTAAAATAATTACGTTTACATCCTACTTAATAACAAGTAATTTATAAGTATAACAAGTTAAATAAAAACAAGTAATATATAATTTAATAAATTTATTCTAGATTATGCATTAACAATTTTCGAAATGAAAACTCACATGAAATGTAATAACAATTTACTGAAACGATTCATATTCCAAATAAGAATTTTTTAATAAATTAGCAATTATCTTTTCTGAAAGTATATCACTATAAAAAGAAAACAGCAGGAAAATCATTTCTTGTTTTCGTGTTTTGGTCTACGAACTTTGTGAATTGGCAAATCAGCATAAGATCCTCAGTTTTTTTATTCGAATTCGTTTCTTTGCATGGTTAATAATAAATCTTTTCACTTCAGTTTATAAAGTATGAGACGCACGATATTAAAAATTAAACGTATGTGTTGAATAATGATTGTACTATTAATCATCTCTATATGAAAGAATAAAGTTAATAAAAGGCTTAACGATATTTGAATAAAACGTTTAGCGCATAATGATAAGCTGTATCCCAATCAAGCATTAAAAGCACAGTATTGAAATAAAGCTTGTAGAGACGTTAGGTTATTTGGAAGCAGAAGACATGAAAAATGTGCAAGGCCCTTGCCCGGGCTTGAACTTGGACTTCTCGAAATACACTCCGAGTGTGCTACCGTTACACCCCGAAAGTATGCTGAAAGGAGGGAGAAAATAACTTATGAGTTTAAAAACATAGTATTTTAGGCACTTAAAATTCACTGAGACATAGTCTTATATAAGCATAGTGACCGAACATGCACGAATACAATTAATTAAGAAATTTCGTATATTGTACGATGTATTACAATAATCATTGCATTGGGTAAAACGTATCATTACTAAATTAAGCAAAAGGTAAGGGGAAAAGTAAAACATTTTCAGAAAACGAATTATTTTCAGCAAAATGTTATCAAATAGCTGCTTATATCAGTGGCTTTAGAATATCTAGAAAAAATAGATAAATTTGAATTGGATTTTTATTTATATATAACTGAAGATCACGTGTTAGAAAGAAAGCAACTGCTTGGCTGTAAACAAAAACATTTCTGATTTTTGTTGGAAAAATTACAAACATGGTACGAGTCAATGAGTGCATATTTCGTAACTAATAATTTCGTTCCTTATTATATTTTATGTACATTTCTGAAATTTTTTCTTAATTTTCTCCTAATTGATAGGGGATTTGTTAATTTAATTACTGGAAACAAAAATTACCATTGTTTTTATTAAAGGCACTAATGATCATAAATCTATGTAAAATACATAATTTATTTTTAATGGCCGTTCTCAGAACGGCTTAGTATGCACATAAAATATTTTCATAAAAATTAGATCTACACTAAAAGGACTAGCTAATAAACTTTAAAAAAGCTTCTAAAATTCGCATGTTTTACATGTTAATAATGCAAAAGGAAAGAAAGAATATGTTTAAATTTACAAAACATTATTTACAAATTGTTTTAGGACTGTTTCAAAATGTAAAATATCAAAGTAACCGTGCCATTGTTTTAATGGTGTTTTTCTTCTAAATATTGTATAATGCGTGAATAGAACGACTGAGACGTGCAGCTTAACAATATAATTTCATAAACACTCGTAGCGTACCTCTCAGAACTTTGTAACCCAACTCCTCAATTCGTACACTGAAAACATTTCGATCACTAAAGAAACTATGATTTATATTTTATCAATACTGTTACTTTCAGTGGCATCATATGGAGTTCAAGAAAATGCAGTTTAATGGATTGTTTCTATGGTTTCTAAACCTTTTCTAGAGGATTTAGTTTCGAACTTCTAACTTCTAAATATTCCCAGAGATATGTTGCTTTTAAATTATTTATTGTGTATTTCAAATTTTGTAAACGTTTAACGAATTTTTGATTAACAGACTCAACGATTTCAAAGCGAGCAATGGCAACACTGTGCGGAAAAAAAATTTTATCTCCATTGCGCGAGACTATCGGAAATTCTAAAAATACTGTTTTTAAATATATTTTTAGCCCAAGGATTATTAGCCCAAACGATGTCTTAACGTGTATGCATATGTAAATGAAAACACGCCCCTTTGCAGGAAACATAAAATCTTAAAGCTTTCCTATTTTATTTTAAAGACTTTTTTTTTTTTCAAATCTTAGTTGACTGAATATTTTATAATGGTGATGACTTATAAACTGGCTGAATGAAGCTTGGATAGCTTAACAGGAAAGTCGTGTAAATTTTAAATGATTCTAATGCATCTTCCCTATTTAATATTAAATCTTAAATGTGTTCGGAAGATTTTCTTCAAGTTATATCTGTGTTTGCTATAAATGTACACTTCCGGAAAGCACAGTTGAAAAGCAATATTCCAATTAAATTTATTGCTCGGTGGCATGTGTTTAAAAACTCAGTGGTGATGAAATTAAAAATACTTAGTAGGAATTAATGAGGATCTGATAATGTTTTATGATTTAATAGGCATTCTTTTCCAGGAATATTTCAAGTTCTTGAATAGTTTATTTTACTTTCCATAATATATTTTTTCAAGAAACAATAAAACTCTGCACCTGGCTATACTCGTACTAGCATAATTAAGATACTAACTTACCCTTCACCACCTCATTGCTAGAGAAAGTAAAATAGCAGGCACATAACAACGTAGAGACTCTCAATGATAAGTTCCTCAGTTTGTAATGATATTTACCAGTTCGAAAATTTAAAGAACTTGAAAAAAAAATTCTTCTACGCCCCCTTTCAACATACTACAGACTAATATACGCTCTACTAGTTTTAAACGGATATTATAAAGAAATAACTTTATTGGATGTCGTAATATTTATAATATAACTTCAGTAATAATGATAATAGTAATAATAATAATTAAAAATTTTAAAAATCTGAAAGCTTTCAGATTTTATATCACGCTCAAAGGGGCGTTTTTTTAACGTTTTGTGTATTTAAAATGTCATGCTCTTCGCACTTAAATCATAAAATTCGATTCAACAGCAATATCACAAAATAATTTAAAAAAGAGCATATCTTTAGAATTACCGATACACAATCCCGCGCGCAGGAGATAAAATTATCTTTTTTTCATACAGTGTTGCCATTGTTCGCTTTGAAATCATTGAGTTTGTTAATCAAAATTTCATTAATGTTTTACAGAAAATGAAATAGATAATAAAAAAATTCAAAATTTGGGCTTCCAGATGCTCATATTAGAGTGAAGGACTACATTATTCAAAATTTAAAGACTCAGGTACATTTCAACAGTGCGAGAAACATACTTGCATACATTCATGCATATTCTTCATTATTTTATTTCTTTCAATATAATATAGAACTCTAATATTTGGTGGCAACTATTTGAAAAGTGAAACGCTCCTGAATACCACGCGCCTTTGTGGTGTAATTGGAAAGAACATTGTCGAAGCTAGATTCTTAGGGAGGGAGTTGCACATTTTTCATCTCTTCTCTTTCGACAAGAAAGCTAATGAGTCTACAACTTTTGAAGTTAGCGAAACAGCATCACAAAATATTCAAATTATTGGATACGAAAGAACTACAAACATCAAACATCTTTCTACATCATCTAAATACACGTTAAATATCAAATGTATAACTTATTTTATTTAAGTGGTACACTAGATATTAAAAATGCAAAAACCTTTCATTATTTTTTCTGCTTATCTAAATGAGATGTCTGTGAATCTCTAAAACGCAACAGTATACATATATACTCACTTTATTTATACAAAGAAATTTCTACATGATTTTGATTTTACATGGTTTGACAAGGAAATCATCCAATTCCCATTTTACTGTATTTTCATCGAACACGGTTCAAAAGATTTTTTTTAACTTCCATTTAAATTTAATTCTTTATAATACATTCCTTTCTCAAAACACAATTCTTCAAATTTATGTTTGAAACAACGATGGCATGAACAGTAAATGTTAATAGTCATTTAAGCAGTTTGATTTAAATAAAGTTCGTTTTCGAAATTTAGTATTCAATATATATATACTTTTTACAAACATTTGAGTGTTTAAACTACACATTTTGAACTCTAAACTTACTAAAAAATGAAAGTATATTACCATATATGCGCTACACAATTTTACTTGATGTTCTATAAATTCAACAAAAATTCCATCTTCCTTTTTTGGGGATGGAAAGTGTGCTTTTATTAAAATTATTATGGAAAGCTTAGCTGCATTTAGGAGTAAAAAATCATTTCATGATGAGTATTAAAATAATATTATAAAAGTAGTTTAGCTAACACTATAAAGTATTTAAGGAAACTTATGAAACTTATCTACAAACTTGAGTATAATATTTTCGGGTCAAATAAAGCACTTACTAAAAAAACATTCTAATAAGAATATGCTACAATTAAATTATTATGCTTATTAGCAAACTAATTACTTAATAAGACTGTATGATAACTGTCATAAAATTAATCAATAGAATTATATAAAATAATACAATATATAACAGTTAAGTTAACATGATAATATAACGTCATATTTTACAATATATAATAGCTTCAAAAATACGATTGTTATATAATAATTATAATCCAACTGATAAGAATAAAATATTATAAAAAAGTTCAAATTATTAAAAACGTCGTTTAAATTAAACAAAAATTTTGATATAATTGAATTTGGGGGGGAGGGTTACTGAATATTCATAACTGAAATATTTTTTTTCCCTTCTATTCTTTGACGTACCTTTTAAAATTTTACAGGTTATGCAAATAACCTTTAAAAAACTTATTTGCATAATATATACAAATATATTCAAATAAGCTTACACACATTTGATTTAATTACGGATACAAAGAGAAAATTTTCAAATGACTGAAAAGTCAAATTAGTTAGCGGAACTCCCTTCTCCAGAATGTTCGACCCAACGGGATTTTCACACTTGTAACGCAAATGTTTCCACCTCGTAAGAGAAAT